CTTGGGGAAGGGGGGGGGGGGGGGGAAGGAGTGTGGGAGGCAGCTCGGAGCTTAATTTCTTCATCTTCCATTTTAAACTTCATAGTGAAGAGTGGGGGGAAAAGAAAAAAAAAAAGAAATTCAGGCACATCCCTTCAAATAAAGTTGCAGACAAGCTAAAAGGCCTTTCTGAAATCCTGAACCTTGTTCCTTCCCACCTATTTCAGCGTGAGCCCAAACAGCCAGAGACTCCCTGCCTCAGCCTGGAGCCTGCTGGTCTGGAGGAGAGATTTCAAGTCACCACAAACAAAACCTTGCCCAGACGCCAACAGCAAACACCAGGACCAACAGGGTGAGGAGAAGCAATGGTTATCGTGAGTTACTGGGAAAGAGCAGGAGTTGTGATCCTGGAAAAGGGTCTGTATACCTTCAAAGCAAGGCGGGAGGGACCAAGAGGTTGCTGAAGTTGCTGCTGACTTGAACAGCAAACATTTCCTTCACTTACTGAGAGCTAAATACTGGCTACTAACAGAAGTTAATTTGCCCTTTCTAGGCATTCCTCTGGCCTGTCACACAACCATTTCCATAATCTTGCTGGGCAGCATCTTAAACCAGCTAGGACCCTTGCCTCAACACCCACCCTTTAAGTATTTATAAGCATTGATCAAATCCCCCTGCGCAGTCTTCTCCAGACTAAAAAGACCCAAGTCGCTCAGCCTCTCCTCATAAAGGAGATGCTCCAGGCCCCTAATCATCTTTATAGCCCTCTGCTGTACCTTCTCCAGCAGTTCCCTGTCTCTCTTGAACTGGGGAGCCCAGAACTGGACACAGTACTCCAGATGGGGCCTCACCAGGGCAGGTGAGGCCCCCTCACTTCCTCATTTTTAATTCAGCAGCACCCAGCGCTAGCCTTTATACTCTTCTCTCCTCTCCTGCCCAGCACATACAGGCACAACGGGCAAGTTTCCATCTTCTCTGTTGCTTCCATCCAAAAAGAGCTGGAGGGTTTTTACTTTGAGAGTTGACTGGGAGACCAAGAGGCTGATGAGGCAGAAGGGTTTATTTACAAATCAGTATTAAATCCCCTGTGTTCACAGAGATTGATTTACCAAGAGTGGATTCTGTTCATTTATTTAGAAGAGAGAGTATGGGGATTTTCTTTCAGTTTTTAGGCTAAGCTTTAGACAAGCTTTTCTTCAGCACCTGTAGAGGCTGGATCCTTACAGCAAGGAAAAGTCTGGAGACATCTGGACTACCTCAAGGCACCTGTTTCTCCTCTGTTGCCACACCAATAATTCACATTGCCCGCATGGCTGCACTCTGCTGGGTTCTTGCAAAGGACAAAGGCATCGTGTCGCAGCACAAGAACAGCTTCTGCTTTTAGTCTCTCACACCAGAAGACAAAAGGGTCCTCATCCTGGTCCCTACATTTCTGCCCCATCTGTTTGTGTATTAGGAAACCCTGGGAGTGCACAGGTCTCAGCTCTTTCTCCTTCTCTCACACTTAGCTAATCACCACATACACACAAATTAAAATAAAAAAGCAGGTAAGATGGCAAATCTCAACGTACTTACAGAATGCTGGGGGGGGGGGAAAAAGGCAAGTTTACCAAATGGTAAGCACAAGAGATGTGTTACGTTCTGGTCAGCTCTCCCCTTGCAAGGAGCTCAGGTGGCCATCCCAGGCTGGTAACACCACACACTCCTGACAGCCTCCCCCACCCTTCCACACTTCAACCTTGCCTTGACTCAACAGCCGCTCTGGATGGGGAGGGGAGATCACGCACCAGGAATGGACTCAGAAGAATTGCAGAGCCAAAGGGCCCAACATCCTGCGCAAGGGAGGGAGAAGCTGTTCACGAAATTATGAATATGCAGAAAACAATGGGAATCTGTGATTTCTGGCTGTATTTTCTGCTGGCAACCGAAGAAGCCCAATTGTATTTTTGTTGTTGGTGGTAAAAAAGATAAAAACCTAATGTAGAAACATAGTAACTGTAAAGGTTTGAAAAGATGGATAAAAGGCTTTTATTTCTAAACTGCCATCATCCCACTCAGAGCAAAAATGACTGAATTGCTACCATCCGAGTTGGATTAATGGTCTAGGTCGTGCTGTTTCCCATGTTCCTCCTCACTTGCCGGCAGCTGGATGTCCCTGCAGAACGATGCATGTATGAACATCCCTAACCAGAGGCCTGAACCCCAGACACCTTCCTCACGGCCCTCCGCTTCTGTGGGTGACAACACAGCCCGCGAGGCAATGGGCTCCTGTCAAACAAACTGTCACGTGCAGTCCTCTTTATTAATCAGGAAAGTTATTAGCTCTGTCTTCCGTGCAGGGCAGGAGCACGTGGTGGGCCAGGTTCCCACCTGTGTGTGTTGGCTGCCTCTTGGCTGCAGGTTGGGGTAAGAGCTGGCTCTGCGCCCACCCACCACCCACTCAGCTTCCCTTGGAAAGGAAACCCTCAGTTGCAGCAAGGAGGGATGCAAGGAGCCATTTGTCCTCATGAGCATCCCTAGAGAAAAAGAGAGAACTGAGGCGTGTTAAAAACACGCCCAACTAAAGAAAGGACAATTGAAGCAATGATTATCTACTCATCATCATCTTCATCTCTTCTTAAGAAAAAGGGTCTCTCTTACCCCACCAGCCATAAGAGGACTAAAAGGGTGCTGAGCAGCATGGTTGAAACGCAGTTATTAGCCACCTCCCTTCTGCCTTCAAGGCCAAAAGTGAGCTGTTGAAAGAGCACTGGGTCTGTGCTCTGACCTCCTGTGATGCAACCCACAAGCTTAACTGCACTGTAGCTCCTCATGGAGCACAAGCATTTTAATGAAGCATCTAAGCACGATTTAGACATTTCAGATGGACAAAGTCCAACACATTTCCAAACATCACTAGGTTGTTCCAATCTCAGTCTCTTCTAGTTTTGAGCACTTTTTCAAGCCAAAACTAGACCAGCTCAAGCTTATAAGTAATCCCAGGGTATTTAAATGCACAGCTCAATATTTAATGCCTTCTTCCAGAGAAACATCCTCCCAGCTATCTTGAAACACCCTCCAGTGAGCAGCAGAGACTGGATGCCAATCAGCATCTGGGGTGTTTCTCTGGGGAAAAGATCACAATGCACATAAAGCCAACACCAGAACTTCCAAGCGCTCATCTCCCATGACAGCCCAAGAGGTTCATCAGTGTTTTCTGAATCCAAGACTCCACAAGCTGTCATCTGCCTTCCAGGGTGCCTTGTATCTCATCTAATTTCGGTGCAGATCGGACATGAATTAAGACAACAACCTATACAGAAGAAAAAAAAACCACTTTTTTTTGCCCAATACAATCTTTCATTTCCTCTAACCTGAGAAAGACCATGCTGAGTAGGACCTCTACCATTCAGTGGAGCACGCGAGGCTTTGCATTCAGAGATACTCTCTAAGGAACATTTCAAGTATCACAGTTTTAAATTATGGATCACGTGGATGGATTAAGAACTGTCAGATCCTGTTTCCTCTTTTATTCCTTGTTAGGTGATCTTCACTTAATGGCTGCTGTTCAGGTGTTTTGCTGTTGAGGGTTTTTTGCTTTTATTATTTCAATAAAGGCAAAGATAAGCAGAAAGAAGCTGGTGCAGCGCTGGGAGTTGGGTCTGGCTGACTCTTTCACACGGTGCATCCGGAGCTGTGGGCTCCACCCTTCGTCTGATTTATTTTAAAAGCCTGCTGTGTCCATTAATGGAAAATTGGACTCTGTTCAGGCTGCGATGGTGTCCATGGGCAGGAAAATGGAAAGTTTCAGATTAAAGCTGC